AAGTCTACTTAGTATAGTTGCAGTATAAACCACAGATTAACTCTGTGGGTGTTGAACAAACACAAATGTGCCTGAGCAAGCATCTGCAATAGGGGATTGACTATCCACCCTAATAGACAGGTATCCTCGAATACAAGTAGCCAGCTATATAATATATATATATATATATATATATATATATATATATATATATATATAAAGGAAATATGTTGTAGTGGTTCCAACGAGAGAAAAGTATGTATATTAATTAAAGAGGGGTGCCGCAAACGTTTTTGGTTTTTAAAAAATATTATATTTTGTTTTACATAATTTCTCGACACGTGTTTCTGGTCTGGTCTTGTAAACCTGTCTTCAGGTGAAAGTGGAGATTTTTACATATTATTAAAAATAATTAATTTTTTCTTCATGTTCAATGTGGAATATTCTCGATATGAGACATTCTGTTTGTGTGTTGGCAATCCGAATTTTCTTTCTAGAATTGTCAATGACGTTTGCGGCACCCCTCTTCTTTTTAATATATATATATATATATATATTTTGTATTACTACAAACTTATTTTTGTGGCTAATCATATTTGAGTTGGTATCCCTGTTTTTTTTTATTTTCTGAAACCATTGAGAAGGCCTACTGAAGAAAGCTTGTGCCTCCTAAAAGGAATTAAATATGTATCACTTTTTCCATCATATAGAAACAGTTCTGATGGAAAAATAAATATGAGTCCAATATAGTTTATAGTAATAAGATAATAATGTCAGGCTAAAAATCCACTTAGAGGTGACAGGCTGTTTCATGCTAAAACGCAGTCGTTGTGGCCTGACAATTGCATCTAGCATGAAACAGCCTGTCGCCTCTAAGTGTTGACTTCAATGTTCACTTTTATATTTGCACACGCTCTATCTCTGATATTGAGCACTTTATCCCATAAATATAGCACACCTTAAGACATATATATATATATATATATATATATATATATATATATATATATATACACCTAAAGAGCCAGGTAAACCTACCTAAGTAAGTTTATTTTTGGCTCTTTAGCTTTATATTAGATTTGCTCTACTTCGTGTATTGAGCACTTTATATAGTTATTTTTACTCGTTTTGGAGGTTTTTTTTCTTTAGACTCTGAGCTTGAATTCTGGACGATTGTTTTCGCCTCAATTTCATGTTCTCAGTTCTTTTCTTTTTTTTTTTTTTTTGTTATCCCTTTTTTTATCCCTCATTTTTCCTTGGGCATTGGTTTGTTCTATTACAAGCCGAAAGCCGAAATACCTAAGGTTTTTCCAAATGAGTACCACTACATATATATATATATATATGTATGTATATATATATCCTTTGGTGTAAATAAAACTGTACTCAATGCAAAATTACAGAACTATTAAGTATATATTAATAAATATACATTTATTTATTTATATATTGTTGAATTATATTATTAATGAAAATATTTTAGCATCTACTTGCAAAAAGATCACAGACAAATCCTCTTGTTTGTAAATAAAATGTTTATATAGTTTTGGAAAGTAAATCCACAACTGAAAAGTATTCTGAGGTATGAGAAAAAGCCTTTAGCTATGAAGAATGCTGTAAAAAAATGTGTACAATTGAAATTATATCGTTCTAGATTCTTGGTTTTGTTAGTTTTGTGAAGGTGGATAGTTGATAGGGTTTGAAACCTACGCATATTTGCTCAAATGTGGTGGACAGTAGGTGTAAATGGAAAATATGTGTCCAGTCTGATACAAATAATGCTTTTCTTTGTCTTTATACAAGTTTAATTTGAAATTAAGCTTTGTGGAATGTTCTCTGTTTTTTTTGGGTTTTTTTTTTTGCACATCAGACCAAAGAATTTATATCTCTCATTCTTTGTCTGTCTCTCTCTCCATCTTTGTCCTTATGAATCTCTCTCTCTCTCTCTCTCACTTTTCCTTCTCTCTCTCTTTATCCTTGTCTTTGGGCTCACAAGCAGCAACAAAATCACAATCCCACTTAAATTAAGTTAAATTGACATCAAACAATATTGGAAAATAAGAAAATTAAAATAATCAGCACACATGTCAGTCAGTTATGTGCCATGCATGATAAACGCTTAGGCAATCATGTATCTTTTGATACATGACTGACAAGGCAGATTTTTTTTTCCTACCATAGGTTGCCATTTCTTTCTGCGGTAGACCAATTGCCATCCAAGGCTAGAGAACTTGGTCTGTCCTGCTATTTACCCATAGCTGGTGGGAGAAGAAGAGGATTCATACCATTCCCAAGAGTATTAGCACATAAGTGAATATAATGGATTCATCTGGAATTCAACCATGGCTCTTCAATTTCTCAATCCAAGCTACAAACCATTATTCCACCATGATTCTCAAATCAGATTTTATGTGGTTATATTTGAAATAATTGTTGGAACTACTTGACTGGTTTGCTTTTAAAAAAATAATTCCTTAACAATTTTTGTAGATTGGCATTTATTAGAATTTCCCCAAACTACAACATTTGTCAGAATAAAAAAATATTGATTTTGATCATTTTAGAAGTGGGGGTCCTGTTCATAATATAAATAGAATGTCAAACTGATCCCTGGCTTTTTAAAGAGTTATCTATACATTGTTTTTATTTACAAATGTTAAGTTTGAAACTGTGCTTATGTCATTGATAATTGCAGAATATTGTGAATTGAGGAAAGGACATCGTAGTTTACAGTTACCAATGATATGAGCAGAATTTCAAATGTAAATAAAAACAAAGTACAGATAACTCTTTATGAAGTCAAGGATCGATTTAACATTATATTATGACAGGACCCCTTTTCTAAAATGATCAAAATCAATATTTTTCAATCCTGACAAATGTTATGGCTTCAAAATTTTATTGTGAAAATAATTTTTATAGATTAGCATTCATTAGAACATGAATGCTAATCTATAAAAATTATTTTCACAATAAAATTTTTCTATACAGTTCAAGTTGTTTTCATTGAAATAATTTATTGCTCAGTAAAAAAAAAATTTAAAAAATTGTTAAAATTTTACTTACTTATCTCTTCCTATCAAGAAATTACAAAAATTTAAATATCAAGGAAGTGTTTATTTACATTATTTTCATCATTTGCACTGATGTTCTCATCTTGTCATATTCACAATGTTTTGGCCATTGTACACTCTGGCCTTCTTCAGGTGATAAACATTGGAATTTTGAAACGAGTCTTTTATTTCATCTGCTAGGGTAGATTGTTCAAGTACAATGTTCAAAATGTCATGAGGACAACTGTCTGAACAATGAAAAAAGTGTAAATAAATATATTTCAGAAATATAGACTGATCAAGGAAATGGATGGAAAATGCAACATCAAAATTCGATAGTGCATTGGGATAACAAATGATGCCTTCCAAAAGCTAAGCAAAGTATTATGAAACAGGAAAATTTTGTTAAAAATAAAGCAAAGAGTACTGAACGTAATATTTGTCCTCCTATAAGGTCGTGAATGAAGGACAATCTCTTCACAGATGAAGAAGAGACTTGAGACAACAGAAATGTGATTCTATAGAAGGATGCTGAGAATACCATGGACTGAACATGTGAACAATGACTAAGTTTAAGAGAAAATGGAAACAAAAAGCATACTTATACTTAACGTCAGAAAGACAGTTTAAATTTCTAGAGCACATAACAAGGAAAGAGGGCTTGGAAAATCTGATACTCACAGGACAAATTGAAGGCAAGAAGCAGAGAGGAAAGTAGAGAATAACTTACTTAACAAGCTTGTGTAAATGGTTGGTGGAACTGGGATTAGGAGAAATAGAAAAAAAAAACACTTCACTAAGGGCTACAAAGGACAGGAAAGTGTGGAGAGTCATGATCATCCATATCCTGAAAGGACACAGCACACAGAAGAACAGCTGTGAAAACTGGGATGTAAAATCTAATTGGAAACAGTTATTAAGACATTGGTACTGACCAATAAACTCCATTGTCTATCGTCATTTTGCTTCCATCTGTTCTTCAATGACATAAATTTTGGATTAATAAATCTGTCATCTACTCAGGTTTCAAATCCTCAGCAATGTCATGGTTTCCATGATACAACTTGTGTAGACATTTTGACACTTTTTTTTTTTCTTTTCTCCAAAATCTGCTTTCTTATCATCCCATCTCATAAAATTTCATCTTAATGGAGATTTTATCAGAGTTATGATCTAATTCGTCATATCTTAATCTAAAGTGATCTGTATATTGACTTATTACAGTCTGTGTTGATTATTATTTGCCAACATTAAAATAGTTTTTTTTGTGTTTAATCATGAAAATTCTCTCCGCCTACCTTCCACCTTGCAAGACATTTTTAAAAGATCAATTAAGTGCTATGTCAGAACTCAATTTGTTTGTTGTTGTTGTTTTTTTTTTAAGAACTATATGTGTATAAAGGAGATTTGCACAGTTAATTTTTCTGTTCTGTCATCCTGGTAAACAATAGCAAAATGTCTGATACTGCAACAAGACATGGGAATATTAGACTCATGCCTTTTTACTATTATGTTTGGCTATTTATAAACTAAAAAAATGTTCAGAAACTAACAGAACAAGCAAAGTTGAGTGACTGCACATGCAATTTCTTCTCTCACTGTGATGATTCAAATTCCAGCTATATCCATTGTCAGTTATGGCAAATAGTGTCATTATAAATTATTATTTTTCTAATCAATCATACAGCAAATCATTTATTTTTAATCTCATTAATACTAAAAGATGATTTTTTTTTTTTCAAGTTTTGGATTGAGATATCATTTTGATGTGATTAATTTAGGTGCTTTTCATCCTCATTTTTATTGTCTTTAACATTCTATTTAAAATGGTCAACTCAGATTTACATTTTTTCCCTTTTATAAATTTTTCTTTTGAATAAAAATTTTTTTTTTTTTTTTTTTTTTTCCCACAGCTTGTTCATCAAGATGAAGGCTGCATTATCATGTCCCTTTCTGACCAAGATTCCAATGAACTGTGTGCGCCAATACGCTCCACAGGTGCTCAGTTATGTCAACCAATGTCCTTTTATGAGTCATGCCGTGCGTTATGCCTCAAGCCATCAAAGACAAAGTAAAGACAATTTAGCTGAAGGTGAGCATCTTTTTTATTTCCATCAAAATTGCCATCATATGCTAACCATCCATAAGCAATATTTTCATAACTTATAAATGATAAAACCAATCTATAAAAGAAAGATTTCATTCCATTTTGAGATTGGCCATTCCATATACAAAACATGATGGCATTCTCAGGGCCTACACATCCATTTTGCACTTGATTTTCAAGAAGACCAGAAAAACATTAATTATGCTACTAGATGGGAGCAAAAGTTACCTGGAGACGGAAAACGCCATTGATTGCTGGAAACTTTTGTATGCATCTAATAGAAATAGTATTTTTTATATGTACTCATTAAAAGAAACGCAATGAGCTAAAATCTCTTGATTGTGGTGGCTAAAACATTAGTCCAACTCTACAAATCAATTTGTTTGAGAAATTGGAATTTTGAATAGTTTCTAAGAACTTTCTTACTTTTTACCTGTAGTTCTTTTATTTTATAATCCACTCATGACACACAAAAACCAACTTGGTATTTTGTCTGGCTTGTATTGCCATATAATATATTTTACTTAGGTAGACGTTTAATCAACATGAATGCTCTATTCAAACTATTGTTCTCATCTTGGTTGTTATAGGCACAACACATCATATGTTATAGATACAACACATCATATGTTATAAACACAACACATTATATGTTATAGATACGACACATTTGATGGTATCTTTTGATGATCCTGGCTCTTTTTCATTACAGTTGTTTTAATGTTTGCAGTTGATCTCTCATCTGTCTTGTATGTTATAATCGATGTCCACTTCTGGGTGTTAATTCAAGATACAAGTCGCCACAGTGACTGTTAAAATGCTTAAACCAGCAGTTAAATGGGCAGTTAGCTTAGTTATGATTTCCTTTCAATTTTGAATTCTGTGAGAAACTTTCTGGGCTTTGATGTTCAGTTAAAAATAATGATCCAAAATTGTCAGAATCTCAATATTTTTATTTGCCATTATAACATTTAAAACAAAAAATAGTCTTTAAATTTATGCATGAAATAAGCTTTTGATTAAATGTCTGTAAAAAAAAAAAACAGATACTTTTGTTACGCACTAATCGGAATATCAATAATTAGTGATGTTTTGTTTGAAAAGCTTCTTTTTCTTTGTGAAGTGCTTTCAAGGTCATTGTTTTTAATGCAAAAACATTGAATTGCTGAATTGTTTTCATTGTTTTGGAAATTACTTGTATGATATTATGTTTTATACTTTCTGTGTTGACTGCAAATGGCTTTTACTTTGAATTTTTATTTGTTTTTTTTATTGGTAACACTGAAAATTGGGGATTCAAAAAAAAATTATTTTTTGTTTTTCATAATGTTGACATTTATTTAAAAAATATTTTCTTAATTTTTGTTCATTTCTTATATTTTCGTTTTTTGCATGAAAAGAAAATTTTAAACAAAGATGGCAATTTTTTTTTTAATAAAGGAAAGTGTTTACATTTAAATAAGTATGAAGACTTTTCAAAATTGAAAGAAATTTTTCAAAGACAAAAAGAGCTTTTTTTTTATGGCTGCTTTTATCTTCTCAAATGACAAGGTTAATACCAACCCTATCCCAACACACTGAGTGTAGCCCTAGCCCTACACATTGAGGTTAGCAATAGCCCTACACATTGAGGTTAGCAATAATCTTACATACTGAGCCTGAGTTGAGATTAGAAATATAACAGCTGTTAATGTCAAACTGTTTTAAAAATTGATTTCTTGAGGAGAGAACTTTTTTTTTTAAATTTCAGCTGCATCCCAGGATAGCCCAGCCAGCAACTGTCCATTCCTTGCCAAGGAAAAACCCCTGGGAGTTCATGAAGTAAGCCCATTGATAAAGCAGGACATGATTAATGCTTTCAGCCAAGGTCAGTATGACTTGATTTTGACATTTGTCATGCAAACATATACTTACCTCTGTTAATATCTACCTATATCTTAGATTGTTCATATCCATACTCAACTGCCTCAGTCTGTCTATATGAATCTCTCTTACTTTCTCTCTCTTTCTCTCTGTGCCTGTCCATATTGAGTTTTCTTTCACTTTCTCTCTGTATTCAGTCTCTTCATATCTGTTCCTGTTAATCTCTCCTTCTCTGTCCATATCCAGTTTTTCTCTCTCTCTCTCTCTTCATATCTGCCCCTGTTAATCTCTCTTTCTCTCTGTCTGTCCATATTGAGTTTTCTTTCACTTTCTCTCCTTCTCTCTCTATTCAAATCTGTCCCTATTAATACCTTTCATTATGTACAATGCTTCACGAAAGTTAAGATAATATTGAAAAATTTGTCTCTTTTTTTCCAGATAATCAACAAATCTTAATTAAACTATGTATTCATTAAGAAAAAAGCCTTTATTAAACAAATTACAGCAACTTTCAAAACTTTTTATCCAGCTGGAATAAAAATATTAAAAATTAAGATGTGCAAAAGTAAGTGAACCCTTACATTTAATATTTGGTGATGCTCTCTTTTGAGGTCACAAGGTCAAACAGTCTTTTTCTATAATTTTTAAGATTCTGGTAGTAGTGAGCTTCAAATATTAACCATTGCTTGATATTACCCATGTTTCTTCCATGTACTGCTTTCTTTCACTTGAGCCACTGATTTTCATTTGGGTTTAGATCAGGACTTTGACTAAGCCATTCCAAGATTTGAAATTTCTTTTTTCAAATCCATTGTTTTGTGGATTTGCTTTAATGCTTCAGATCATTGTCCTATCAGAATATCCTCTGTCCCTTTGATCTAAACCCAACTTTTGAACCAGGGGCAAGAGATTTTCATTTTTGAATGATTGCTTGGTAGCTTGCAGAGTCCATTGTGTCATCAATGCATACTATTTTGCCTCTTCTAGCTGCAGTAAAGCCTCTCCACAAACCACAAACCGGACACATTAAGAGCACTCCAGACATACGACTTATCATTCCTCCCAAAAAGCTCTAGTTCAATCTCATCCAACCATAAAACCTTTCGCCAGAATATTTCTAACTTATTAACATGAGCTTTGCCATAGATGAACAAAGCTTCTTTGTGCTTTTTCATAAGCATTGGCTTTTTCTCTTCAAATTTGATTGCACTGTAGATGTATACACATTGATTCTGATATCAACCAAGGAACCTTAGAGAGCCACAGAAGGTCACAGGATTCACGTAGGCTTGCTGAACAAGATGTCTACTTGCAGTTATTTTTCACGGACAGCCACTTTTTGATTGTGATACCATCATATCAAAGGCCTTCTAGTTATAAATAATTTGTTGCATGGTGAAGATGTGCACTCCAGATAGTGTTGTAGCATACCTACAGACGATAATGAGTATGTCAAACTTTTCACACAGTAAACTAATGTCAACTTTATCATGACATTGTTTTGTAACCTGAAAGTATTTTCATTTAGTTGTCACAAGGTGGGGTTGTAAAATTAGCAATGAGATAAAAAATATCCAAGTCAGTTGTCAGGCAAGGCTGAAAAATACAGTCAACAGAATCAGTTTTTCTTGAGACTCTAGAAAATTATCTATGTTTGTCTCAGTTATTTTTGCCACTGTGATTAGTCCTGAATAAACATTAAACATGTTCTAAGTGTATTTTGGATTAAAAATATAGGGAAAATTAATGACATAGTTTCACAGAAGGAGAAATTCATTCTTTTTACAGAAGAAAAATATCCTAAAGTTGAAATGGTTTAATTCTACCTCTTTCTACAGAGAACTATTTCTCATAAGCCTTACCAGAAAGGTTGTCGGTGAAGATCCAGGTATCTGCACATGTCAAATGGCCCTAGCATGTTGTACATCTCATAGTACTGCATGGAGGGTACTTCAAGAGCATGGCCTGTATCCATATCATTTGCAAAATGTGCAGGGTCTTTCACCCTCTGATCACTCACCACAGGAGAACTTTTGATGATGGTCTGTTGTTTCTCTCTTGAATCTTGTTTACAGATGAGGCAACATTTGGAAGAGATTGAATAATGAATTTACACAACCAACATTTGTGGGTGGATTGGAATCCCCAGGGTAGAATGCAGGCTAGACACCAACATCAGTTTACAATTAATGTGTAGGCTGAAATTGTAGGTGACTGTCTAGTAGATCCATATGTTCTCCCAGCACATCTCTATCTCTACAGAGATTTTACTTCAAACACACTTCCAGACCTGCTAGAGGATCTACCCCTGCTAATATGAAGACAAATGTAGTCCATGCATGAGGCTCCATCACATTTTAGTTTGTGATGTACTAGATGACATTTACCATGAAAGATGGATAGGTAGGGGGGGGACTGGTTCTATGGCCTGCCTGTTCCCCCTATCTCAATCCTTTGGATTTTTATCTGTGGTGTCACCTAAAACAATTGGTTTATGCAGCAGACATTAATAATGCAGAACACTTCTTCAACATGTCATGGGGGCCTATGAAACCAGTCTTGGATTGTACATTTAACAGCATCTACCATGAACTTTATGCTTAATAACTCAAAAGTGAAGGATTTGCAGACATACATTTTTATGGACATTTGTCCTTGTTTTGGTGTGAGGAACCTGCACCCAAAGTTTGTTAAAGAGTTTTTGATACCCCCTGTATATATACAATCCCCTCTAAAAGTAATGGAATGGCAAGGTCAATTCCTTTGTTTTTGTTTTTCATTGAAGACATGTGGGTTTAAGATCAAAAGATGAATAAATGAAGAGTTCATAATTTCAGTTTTTATTTTCTACTATTTACATAGACCTTCTATTTTTGACAATTATTTACAAGAAAAACCCAGCAAAGGAAATACAATATTAAAATTGGTTACTTTGACATTGAACAGATAAATAGGAAAACATGTTTCAATGTTTCAGAAAGATTCATCATTATAAAGAGATTAAAAATATCTTACAAACCTTTTGTAATAAGTCCATTTCTTGTTCAATGAATGTGGTTATATTAAGCCCAACAAATAACTATTAGATATGTACAAAACTTCCCAGCACCTTCTTTTTACTAGATACTGAATACACAGTAGAAAACTTTTTTAATAAGTGCCAGAAACTTATTTATATATCATTGCTGTACTCAATTCTAGAGCAGTATGATCCTTACCAAATACTCAAGAAATATGACCTTGTGCAATGTGAAACAGCTATATAGCAATGAGCAGCATACTTGTCGTAGAAACCATTACAAGTAACTTTGTTTCTTAGTGTCCTTATAAATGTCATAAAAGAGGTGGCTTAGACCAGTAAATACAGGAAATTATTCATGATAGTGTGTTTATCTTCCAAGCCACTGAGTTTAATTTTGTTAAGCATACTCTTGTGTTGGCCCACAGAAATTGGTGAGTTTGTTTCTCACTGGGTGCACCAAAGTTGACTGAGTTAAACAAATATATGTACTGTTTTGGCTTTGGAAAAGTTCAATAAAAAAAGGAAATGCAGACATTGATTTCAGATATGCAATAAAACATTCTGAATTTCTTTTTTTTTTTTTTTTCTGCAGGACCTCAAGAGCTTCCTACAACGGACATGGACCACAGAATATCTACAAGTGTGCCTTCAAGTATGACTGCAGAGACGATGGCTACTGATGTAGATCTGACCCCAACTGAGCAGTTAACTCCTCAGTCTGTGGTCAGTGCAACTGCTGCTGCTAATGCAGCAGCAACTGCTTCTTCTCCATCTTCCAGCCATGCTGTGAAAGCAAACAAGATTGGAGGTTCTGCCAATGGCTGGGGATCATCCCAAGGTAAGCCTTTCTTTCTCTTGATTTGTCTTCTACAAATGATTTTGCATGGGAACCAGACAAGCTCTAGAAGTTTGAGTGGAAATTGTATAAAATTTATATTTACTAAAAATTCAGGGTTTTTTTTTTATGGCTTTTGATTTTTTTAAGCCTATAACTCTTTTAGTAATATTGAATATTATGAATCTTGTGTGTTGTACAAAGCCCTAATGCCTGTTTCTAAAAGCACACACACACACACACACATGATCTAGGTCTCACTTTCTATATATTTATCTATTTTAAAGGATAAACATAATTTCAATAATGTTGTTTGTATCTATTCTATCAAACAAAAGAAATAAGGTTAACACTTATGATAACTTGGAAAAATGACTTTTTAATTTTTTTAAATAGTGGCTAAGTGTGTGACAATTTTATTTGTAAGTATTTTTGAAACATTTCATAGTTTTGGAGGAGAAAATTAAAAAAATAAGACTAGTTCATTAACAACATTTTGACCGTTCTTTATCATTCTTATCTAACGGTTTTAAAGTTGACCAGATTTTGATTTGCCTCTACTTTAAATTTAGTTTCATGATAGAATTATATACGAAAGACAAGAATATGGTGTTTGTGATTTAAAGAGTAAAGTGAATTACTGATAGTCTTTTGAGAACGTTTACAAATAAGACAAGTTCATTATCATCATTTCAGCTGTTCTTCATCAATTTTCTCTAACTGCTTAAAAGTCGGTAAGATTTTCAATTGACTTCACTTAAGTTTCATCTTAGAATTATATACAAAAGGCAAGAATTGTGCGTTTGTGAGGGAATCCAAAATAAAAGCTTTCAATTCTTTAGCTTTTCATCTGCTCTTAATATTTCATAGAAGTTTTTCTAGCAGATATTAGATAATATTAAATGATTAACTTATCAAATTTCTATTATATTCACTGTATTCTGGCAAATTTAATGGCCATTATAAATTTTGATATCTGCTTTTCATATTTGCTGCTGTGTCACAATAAATGTAATTAGTGAATGAAAATTTTGACATATTTATATAAGAAATGATACCCTTTGTAAAGCCTTTATCATTTAAGAAACGATACCCCTTGTAAAGCCTTTATCATTTAAGAAACGATACCCTTTGTAAAGCCTTTATCATTTAAGAAATGATACTCTTTATGAAAAGCTGAAATGATACCTTTTCTAAATCCTATCCACTTTATCAATAATTCTGTACAAATATATTTTTTCTGCAGGAAGTTCGATGTTCTTTGACTATGAGAAGTTTTTTGAGGAAGAGATTGAAAAAAAGAAAGAGGACCATTCCTACCGTGTGTTCAAGAAAGTTCTGCGTAAAGGAAACAAGTTTCCCTGGGCTGAAGAGTACAGTAATATTGATAAGAAAGATATTACTGTTTGGTGCAGCAATGATTATGTCGGAATGAGTTGGCATCCTCTTGTCACAAATTCTGTTCAGTGAGTATATCTAAGCTCAAAGTTATCAATGAACATGGGAATCATTTTAAATGATCAACCATAAAAATGAAATAATTACATGTACAAGACTCATGATGAGGATACTTGCCATTTAGCAAGGATTATCAATTTCATCTTAGAAGCTAGTGACTTTGATTTTTACTGGGTAAGATTTCACTATTTTGATCTTGTGTTAAGTTTATTAAGCATCTCCAATAAAGATCCACTGTCATGGCAAGATACTTAAACTGGTTTTGCAGACATTAAGAGAGAATTTCATCAGAATTGAGTTCTTTACAATTGTGATGTTGCTCAAGATTGGCTGATTCCATCAAATGTCAAGGAAGTCTTTGAATTTTGGTGTTTTTTGTTTAAACTAGAATTTTTTTGCAAATTGCTAACACGTGTTGAAATCCTCACAATATTTAGTATTGTTGAAGTTATCACTAACATTTTTGTCTAGATTTACAAACTCTACGTTTCATTCAATTTTGCAAACCAGTTGAATAAGCTGATTTGTTTGGAAAAATACTTTGACAAAAACCCTACTTCATGGTTTAATAATTTCCTTAATTTAATTTTATAGGACTTCACAGTAAAGAATGTTTTTTAAGAAAATTATTTTTTTTTCTTTTTAACAGCAATGAATAAATTCTTAGGATTTCTTACTCTTGAGCATGCAACATACAACTGGCGATGTGTAAATATTTCTATCTGGAGCCAAATTCCAATGTCTACAAGTGTTTGACCATGTGATTTGTTTATAGTTCTCACAAACACAGGACAAACTGCAAAATTGAATTTGTGTATATAAAACCTTAAAGAAAAAATATGTAAAAAACAATATTGCATTTTTATTAAATAAGTATTTCTTATTTTAATCATTAAATTGTTTTTAAAATAGTGGGAGTATTTTGTATGTTAAATGATAAAACTTTTAATTTTTCCTAAAAAATTAATGAAAATTTATTGTACTAAGCTATGCACCCTCGTAAAAGCAATTGTAGTTTGCACCCTCTTACCTGCTTGCACTTCTCCCCCAAATTTGGCTTCAATCAATCAATGTATGGCTATTTTAGAGGATGTGATGAACAGACAGACTAACAGAAGTCACAGAATTTTATATCTATTAGATTGATAGATTATACTTTTTTGAGGCAAAGTCTATGAAACAATCATGTCTCCATTTTTCTTCCTTAATATTTGATTGTATTTATGTTTATTTTTTTCCACTCTAACATTCCATTATGATTTTATTTCATTGACTTTCTATCATTCTGTGTTTCAATCAAAAACAAAAAGAAAACTTTTAATGGAAAGAATCTATTATTTTCTGATGTGATGTTAGAAAATTGCAACAATGTATTTATCAGTGCACGTATCAGATTTGAGCAGTCATGTAAATTTGATCAGTATAGATTTGTTTTCAGATAGAAAGTATATATATATATATATATATATATATATATATATATATATATATATTATGAAATGGATTAAATCCAACAATTATTTAATATATTTTATGGTTATATGTTATTTTTATAGATATAATTTATTTAAGTAAATACCCTGTTTTTAATTAAACTAACACAAATTTTTGGACTTAATCCATTTCATATGTTATCAGTGTTTATGTTAAGATATGTTTCGTGAGCAGAGATGATCAAGTGAGAAAAATCATCGAAATTGTGTGTTTATGAACAGTAATTTGAACTTTGCTAACCAGACGTTTTTCTGTGGCTGAATGATAACAGCACATCAGGCTATAGGATGGTTCCCATAAGGGTTACATGTTCAATCCCTGTTGGAAAATGCATATTTTCTGCAAAAAATTTTTTGGCCAGTAAATGTAATTAACACTGTTTAATTAAAAATAGATCATTTACTTAAATAAATTATATCTACAAAAATAACATATAAACAGAAAATATGTCTCATATATATATATATATATATATATATATTATATATTTTTGTTAACAGATGAAGGAAAATATATATATGTATATATTAGCATTTTTTGTTAACAGATGGAGAATAAATAAATATATATATATATATATATATATATATATATATAATGTTCTTCTTTTATGACTGCTATGTATGTCCCTCATAGCAAGCAGGTGAAGAAAATATATTGTGATTATAGATAAAATCTTTTTATATGAGACTTTCAGTTTGGTTTGTTTTTGTAACAACATATCAATTCCTTATATGTTATTCAATGCCAAAATTTAATTTTCTTGGGTGCACTGGTAATTTATTTTTATTTCAAGAATGCTGCTAATTTTTTTTTTTATGAAAATATATTACTGGTCGTTTTACTATAAAAATGTATTTTTCTATTTTCATAATGTTTTAACCCTAATTTGGGGGTTAGCTATTGCCCATAGTTGGGATCCTAACAGGTGCTATCATCCATAGTCAGAGTGGAACTGGGAACACCAGCAATTCAGAGGTGATAACACACTCCTCAAAACCTCCTGATCAGAGGCCTTGCTGCTCGATGTAATTTATCGTCATACCCAGGACACCTTTCCTTTCCTCTTAGTCTATGCAATTTTATCATGGGAAGTTTTACTTGTTTGCCAAAATCTCACTAAAATACAATCACAAGACTATTCTGTCTGGTATATTTTATCGTAAGATCATTGGACAGATGAGAATTCAAGTAACATTTCAGTAAAATGACTTTTGCTTGCATGACAATTGTACTGACAATATATGATGGTCATCGCTAGAAAACAAAATGAACCAATATGTTTTATTAACAGAGAAGCATTACATAAATATGGAGCAGGAGCTGGAGGCACTCGAAATATATCAGGGAATTCGCCTCTGCATGAATCACTGGAAAAAGAATTGGCATCTCTCCATCAAAAAGAGGCTGCATTGTTGTTCACTTCCTGTTATGTAGCGAATGATACCACTCTCTGCACATTAGGCAAACATCTTCCAGGTAAGTGTACATTATTGTCCTTTTCTTCAAAACAAAAATCTCTGTATTGATAGTTGGTCTTACCTACCTTTTATATACTTTCTACACACATGTCACATGTTCTTACTGTTTAATTTTCAAAACTATGTAATTGACAAGCCTGTATTGTGTTCGTATTTTTATTTGATGATGTGGGAACCATTTATGATTAAGTAGTAGGTATAAAATTTACAAAACTACTCAGTGTTGGAATACAACTGTAAGTAATCATATATTTCCAATAAATTTCAGACTGACATGTCTACAAAATTGTGTGATGTACAGCCCTCTATGATACATATTGCTATCTAAGATGATGCCATATTAAACATTCTTGTCACTTGTGTTAGTTTGCTGAATTGTTATCTGCATAAGTTCTGCTGCTAATGGTGTTTTGTTAGTTTCACCATTATTTCCAGAAAGGCTAACAGGATACATTGGAACTGTTAATATTATTTGACACTGATGTTAAGTTTGGAATTTATGGTCAATATTTTTTTAACCCCTGGAGCTAATACTGAAATTTTCTGTTGTTCTGAAGAAATAAGTTTTTCATTATAACTGCAGATAACTAAATCATATTTACTTAAAAAGAAAAACATCAGAGAAAGAGAAATACAAAAACAAACTTATCAAAGACATGAAGAGTCATTTTAAAGTTTCCAAACAACAGGTTTCAGCATTGGAATGAAGCTTAACAATAATTTGGGTTTTTAACCAATCAAATTGCTTCTAGTCATTGAATGTATTCCATTGATATCATGTCTGTTACCATTTAATAATTCATGAAACTAAATATCAGTAAATATGTTTGGAAGTATGGAACTCGGTGGGAAAGAATAAAACAAATATCTCTGCTGGAAAAAGTAGATCACAAAATGCTTGGAAAGTCTTTTCAACATCTAAATTCTTCTTTGGATAATATAATACATAGAAGTTCATCTATTCATTTAACATTTCCATAAATTTTGTTTTCTACAATTGTATTTTTCACTGCCTGTTCTCAGTTGTTATAGTGCAAATTATTTTCTTTTACTGGCAAGAATTTATTTCTATAGTTAAAGGTAAATATTTGAATCTGGTGGAACCGCTTGTGATCTTTTTATATGAGCAAAGTCCAGAACAATTCCTCAAACATCAATGTAAAAAATATTTGACCATGAATGCTAATATAATGCATAAATGCAGGAAAGGGGGTGGTTAACTTAATATTTTTCTGATTAATGACACTTTTTTTTTTTTCTATAAGAATCAATGTACCTATATTAAAGTTTCTTCTTAAAGCATTCTTGAAATGGTTTCAAAGAACTGATTTCTGTCTGAATTTCCAAATTTAGTCCAAATGTAAATAATGAATGAACTTAAATAAGTTACTTAACCAAAAATAATTGAATCATAAAAACAAAACTTGAATAAGCTCACTGGGGATGTTGGGATGCAAACATAAATAATTGTATGTGATTGTATATGTCCAGTAAAGATTAAACTAATATACAGAATTGGGTGTGAGATTTTGCTTTCTATGATACATGATACAAAAAATTCTTGTTTTTTTTCTCTTATATATATATATATATGTTCATGTTTCAGGGGTGCAAATCTTCTCTGATGCTGGCAATCATGCCTCAATGATACAAGGTATTCGTAACAGTCGTGCACCTAAGCATATATTCAACCACAATGACCCTCTACATTTAGAAGAGTTACTTCGAAAAGCCGATCCAAATATACCAAAGATTGTGGCCTTAGAAACTGTGCATTCAATGACAGGTGAGTTTCACTGAAAGGTTTTTTCTCTAAATAAAATCACAGATCATTTTCTTATGCTGCACTCACAAGAGAAGACATTCTCCAATTTTAAATTTTCCTAAAGGCTTCTTTGCTAATGATTACACTACCATTATCATTGTTAGATTTTCTAGGTTGCTTGTCTCTCAGTTATGGTGAACAGAAAAAGAAATTTATCATTGAAATTTAAATATTCAAATAAAACCATCATTATAGAAGAAAGTTCTTATATAGCACCATTTTCTGACAATAATCCAATTAGACAGTTACTCACATTTGTCAAAAAGGATAAACTATTTGCTGATAAAATTTACATCTTGTAATACCAGTTAAAATTGTCTTTAATATCTCTTCTATTTTCGGAAGGTGCAGTGTAACAGGGCAGTGGTCATAACCGAGTCACATTAGTGCATGAAATATTGTTTAGGGACTAGAGGTACTGAGAGACTTATTAATCCTAAGCAAAAGATTAGAGATTTTAGATGGCGAAAAATATGAGGGAAGGGAATGTTTGGAACCTGATAGAAAAAAAGTTTGATTTAAAAATATTAATCTGAACCTATAAGGAAGGCATCAGGAAGATTTGAACCTAAAATAAACCAAGTAAAATTCCATAAATTCAGTGTAACTGAAATATCCTGTCTAGCCCCACAGACCTGAGGAAGTCATGATGATGTGATTAATGTGTTTGCCAAAATTCGGCAAAATCCAGAATCGGGAAATGTTATTTTAAAATCATATCCAACAGAATTTATGTAGAAAGATTACCTAATTATCTGGTCTTGAGTATTTTTTTTTAGTAGCATGCTTAAATTCATGTAGTTGGTTCACCAGGGAAAAAAGCTTGTCAGAGCAATTGCCATGAAAATATTTGTAGAAAAGACAGAGGGAAGCCACATCATGGTAAAAAAGTGACTGAAGATGCCTGCTCAGGATCAATTACATTAATCACATTTATGTTTGTAGCTTTTAAATTTATTGATAAATAATAATTTATGTTTGCATTTAGTTTGCTAGCTTAATAAAATCTGACACTTTCAAAAAAGTTATCAATATTTTTAATAAGGTTAGATATATTGCTCATCTAAATATATCCTGAAGATTTTAGTACATCAGTTGGTTAGTATCTGTCTATATTTCTGTGATGAGGTATTATGTATATTATTTACATTATTCTGACTATTGTCCTCATCTTTGTCACCATATTTATTTTGGTCATTGTACACTCTGGCCTTCTTCAGGTGGTTGATTTCCTTTATTTCGATTACTGGGGTAGACTGTTCTAGTTCTATGTCAATTATCAGTTATCTCCTGTTAATTCCCTTCTCCACTGCCTTAACCGGGTATTGAACTCACAGTCTTTGGGTCCTGTCACTGGATCTAACCAACACTGTGCCATGTGTCCTTGAGGACATCTGTGTATGAATTTCTGAGTATTATGAACCTAATGTCTTCAGCAACCATTTTTTACCAGGGCTTATATTGCAATTTTTGCTGTTATCATTTCATGTTTTTAACAGAGCTCATATTGCAATTTTTGTTGTTATTATCACTTTTCTCTGGCACTCCTTGTAATAAATATGGCGACAAAGATGAGGATAATAGTCCGAATAATGTAAATAGTGTATCAGTTGGTTAATATCAATTTTATTGTAAATGCATTAACTTACACAATAAAATTTGACATATAGTGCAAAAACTAGTAAATATTGTCATATACAAAACATGTCACACTGTTTAACAAAAGAGAAGTTGATAGAAGATTGCTTGACAAAAGTCAATGAAGAATCTACAACATTATCCATCCTGATCTGGCATCTCAGCTTCAGGCATTTTCTCACCACCATGTAATTTCTCTATACCTTTTCTATAAATATCTTCATGGTAATTGTTCCAGTGAACTTTACTAATCCTTCTTTTTATGGATTAACTTTTGACGATTATCTTTCAAATAAAACTACAATTTTACATCAAAGAAGATACTGAAATTATTAAAATGGATTTAATGGTAATTGTTCTAATGAACTTTACTCTTTTGTACACTGACGTCACAAACTTAAGCACAGTATTAGATTGCCAGTTAGGTTTCATCATTTGACTATTGAAATTGCTAGATAAAATTTCTATTCTAATAGTTTCTTTTCTTGCATGTGGGATTACAGCTTCCAGCTTTACTGCTAACTACAATCTTGAAAAATTTAAATGAAATGTCAATCGTCATCTTCTGTGTCTATGAATCTCCGTTTCTTTCACTCACAGTAACCCCCTGCATCTTCGGGTGAAATGATTGAAAAAAAAAAAAAAAATTTGCAGTTTGCAGAGAAGTTAGAAAAGCAAGATAAATGATGACACATTTCAAAAAAGTGAACATCAGCAAAATGAGTTCAAGAGAAATGGAGATTGTCAGATTTTGTGGTTCTTTCAACTTTTTACTAAAATTTAACGATGGGAAATAAATAACTGTCTATATTTCTGAGATGAGGTATTATGTACACTGTTTACATTATTTGGACTATTGTCCTCATCTTTGTCGCCATATTTATTACAACATTTCATCCGTTGTATACTCGGGCCTTCTTCAGGTGGTTGGAATGTCGAACTGAACCCTTTATTTCGCTCACTGGGGTAGACTGTTCTAGTTCCACATGCAATGTTTAATGGATGTCAGTTATCAGCTATCTCCTGTTAATTACCCTCTGAAAGTTCTCCACTGCCTTAACCAGTTATTGAACTCACACTCTTTGGGTCCTGGCACAGGAAAAATAAAGGATTCAGTTCGACATTCCAACCACCTGAAGATGGCTGGAGCATACAACAGCTGAAACATTGTAATAGATATGGCAACAAAGATGAGGACAATAGTCCGAATAATGTAAATAATGTGGAAATAAATAATATCCCTCATCTTTTTCCTCACTATTTTGGGGGAATTAATGAGCAATCGTGGAATATATAAAGTATGAAAACTTCAAAGGTAAGATTAGATTTTGCATAATTCAACTCTTTGCATCCATGGCTGCACAAATTGCTGATTCACCTCAAAATGCTCATTCAGCTCTATGACTGTCATATGAGAAAGGCAACACTTTGTACAATAAAAAAGAAAAACATTTCTAAGCACATGAACAAAGCTGGCCATCTATCCATGAATGTGTAAAATCTTATTTTTGTGCTGAGAGATAAAGATTTATATTTAACCATAATCAAGCAAATACCAACGTTGTCTAAGATAAAATGCTTTTATCATGACATTGTCAGATTGAGGAAATTGTAACAAGAGTTTTTATCAAGCCAAGATATTTTAATCACAATCAACACATTTTTACTTGAAGAGATTTCAAATTGAGAGAGAAAAAAAAAAAAGGACAAATAAGTGACATTTGGTATGCCAGAGACTAAGAAGTCCCACAGAGAGGAAACAAAACCTGTCTTGGCCCTATGGCATCCTGTGGGTGAATAGAGACAGACCATGCACCCATACACCACCTAGCAGACATATGATGTCCCCTGGCAGAAAAAGGTGGGATAAACTAACACATTGAAAGGAAATTGACTTAAAAAAAATAAAAAAGAGATTTTTTTAAAATTTTCAGCTATTTTCATAAAAGTCATTCAAGAAAATTTAGATGGAGAGTGTCTTCTGATTATGAATAAATCTTTGTTACAGCAAAGAATCAGACCCCCTTTTCTCAATCTTCTTGCTGGAATCAGAACCCTAGTATCTGTTTGCTCTTCCTCTTAAAGTTATGAGAGAAGCCTGAACCCAGGAATTCCAACCCTATAGCAGAACCTCCCTCATGGCACTAAAGAAAGAGGGCTGGTGAATAATAATGCCAGGGTGACAATGATCACAAGGACTGGACAATGTTTGTCTTTGGCCCATATGTGCCCTACAATAAATTGACCTTGTGTCACATGTTATCACTATGAGGGGTGGTGGAGGAAATATCAGATCAAGTTAATTCTTTTGCAGGGTCATTAGCATTTAGGGATGATTTTATTTCATTCCTTATTCATATTTTCCTCTGGACATTATTAAGAAACACTTTTCAGTATTTTGTTTTTTAAGTTTTTGATGAATTATTCAAACATCTTGAATTGAAATTCAAATATTGTGTGTGTGTTTCTTCTTTTTTTTTCTCTCTAGTGATCATATGTGTGTCTATATTCTTCTCTCTATACGTGTTTCTGTTTCTTTTGTCACAGGTGCTGTTTGTCCTTTAGAGGAATTGTGTGATGTTGCACACAAGTATGGAGCGCTAACTTTTGTTGATGAGGTACATGCAGTCGGTCTGTATGGTGAAAATGGTGCTGGTATTGGAGAGAGGGACAAAGTCTTGCACAAGATGGACATGATCACAGGAACCTTAGGTAATTTTTTTATTTTATAACTTATTCCTTTATTTGTTTTGGGAGAAGGCATTGCAAGTGATTTTTTTTTTTAAAGATACATAAGCTAATGCTGTGATTAGCCTTTTCCACACAGGAAACATCCACCATTCAATAACCGAAAAGTTAGTGTTATTGTCAATTGAAATTTATAAAGTCTTTCTCTTCAAATAGTTTTTCAGGAAAATAGGCTTTTCAAACCCACTGTAGTCATTCTTTCTAGTATTAAAGGGAGTTTCCTTCCTAACCTTTTGTTTAAGGTAGTGTGGAAAGTCCGCATTGTAATTATATCATTCTTTTCCCATCTAATTATATGTGCTACCATTTACTTCTTGTCGCTGTTGGAAGTCTTTAGGTGATGTGGTTTTTGCTATTTAGCAAGACTCTTTGTATTTCTAGTGTATAAAATCTAGTGAAAGTGTATATCCTTTAATACCTTGAGGACGTAGATTTTGAATGATAAATTTTAAATGCACCTGACCTAGCAAGACAAATTTTGCAGCACTTGAATAGTCAGAATTTTACAAGTATTTCAACAACATATACAAAACAAAAAACTTCCTCATTGTATCTGACAATAACTGAAATTATTCTGAAACATCAAATTTTCATTGATTTCTTTTGTTCTTTTCTTTTTTTTCTACCCTTCACCCTACAGGCAAAGCATTTGGTAACATGGGCGGTTATATGGCCAGCACAGCACTGACTATAGACATGATCCGTAGCTATGCATCTGGGTTCATCTTCACAACATCATTACCTCCAACTACACTAGCTGGGGCCACTACTGCCATCCGTATCATGAAAAGTGATGAAGGTAGACAGTTACGTAAAAGACACCAGTCAAATGTCAAATATCTGAGGGACTGTCTCCTCACTGTGGGCATTCCAGCTGTTCTTTGCCCGAGTCACATTATACCAATTCATGTAAGTAAAGTTTCTATTAAAAAAAAAATGCTTTGTTTTTATAGACTTATAAGTACTCTTATTCAGAACATAAGTACCTTTATTTGATACATAAATACCATTTTTCAAGATTCTTCTTTTCTAGTGTTGTTAGATATTACTTAAGATTTTATCACTGAAATTTCCTTTGTTTGAATCAACAACAGATGCTGTTTGTATAGACCAATCTTACAATTCACTAAACTCTTCTGAGTTTAGTGAAATCTAACATTAGTTTCATAAATTCATATGATTTTATTTACTGTGTCAAAATATCTGTAAAGCCATCTTGGCACTTCCAGTTATTTGTGGAGAACGACAAAAAGAAAGATTCTTCTGTCATCATCACATTTACATTTTGGATCTTTGGAAATTACACGAATGTTGATAATGAAAATATCTACACTATTTACATTATTCGGACTATTGTCCTCATTTTTGTCGCCATGTTTATCACAACATTTTGGCCATTGTACACTCTGGCCTTCTTCAGGTGGTTGGAATGTCGAACTGAAGGACACGTGGCACAGTGAATAAAGGCATTAGTTAGATCCAGTGACAGGACCCAAAGAGTGAGTTTAATACCTGGTTAAGGCAGTGGAGAACTTTCAGAGTGGAATTAACAGGAGATAGCTGACATCCATTAGACATGGCATGTGGAACTAGAACAGTCTACCCCAGTGAGTGAAATAAAGGGTTCAGTTTGACATTCCAACCACCTGAAGAAGGCCGGAACCTACAACTGCCGAAACGTTGTGATAAACTTGGCGACAAAGATGAGAACAATAGTCTGAATAATGTAAATAGTGTACATAATACCTCATTTCAGAAATATAGACACATACTGAAGGGCCGAAACGTTGTGATAAATATGGCAACAAAGATGAGGACAATAGTCTGAATAATGTAAATAGTGTACATAATACCTCATCTCAGAAATATAGACAGATAATGAAAATATCTTCTGTTTCTAAAGCAAAATACATTGTTATATCCAAACAAGAAGAATAATCCTTATGTAGAATGTGACCCATAATTTTTATATGTCAAAAACATTGAATGTCTTTTTGTTGCGGGTGGGGGTATATTGGCCCACAAACAGATATTGAATAATGGAAGACAACAACAACAACAAACAAAACAAAGATTGGAGTATAAAAATATATTATCCAGTTTATTTTTGTTAGAGAAAATACATAGACAAAAATAAGGTTACAGTGCACTAAGCAAAAAATATCTCTGCATGTAGAGAGGGAGAAGAGCATTGTTCTGAGGAAGGAAAATTTTGATAGTCGTTGAAAAGGACAGTTTATCGCATATCATTGGCTGACTAGCTAGCTGGATGGAGGTGGAGGCCTGCTGGAGATGGCTGGCTAGATGGTTGGAACTACTGCTGCTGATAGTTGGTTGGAACTACTGCTGCTGATGATGGCAGGAGCCATGAGCCGACTGTTTGCAGTTGGAACAGATATTACACTTTGATCATAGGCTTTATTTAACAGGAAAATATGTGTTTGTGGTACAAGGCCGTAGGGGAAGTGAAGAAAGTCTGATTGCCACTAAGTATCCTAAACCTCGCCAATCTGATTCACAACCCATTGATTCTTACAATTGGCTCATTCCACATAAGAACTCACCTTTCTTCACCCAAGTCATCATTTACCAAAATATCACATATTTGCAGTGAACCTACTCAGAAAAATTCCATGGTATAAAAAGTTTGATATGTGCAATTGTGTTTTTTGTTTTGTTTTTTTTTTGTTTGTTTTTGTTTTTATCCTGGCCATGTTGGCCATGGAATGCTGCTTTTCAAGCTTTGAAGCCCTTTTTATATTCTGAATCAGTTTTGGAACAATCGTTGGTCCTGGAAGGTTAAGCTTCTTTTTCCTCTTGTTTTTAAAAATGTGGGAGTGCCAACAGGATACAACATTTTATTTCCTTATATCTTTTTTTGTTTACTATTTATGGAAGAGACAAAATAATCACTTTCAGTTTGTACAATGCATTGTCAAAAGAAGTCAATGTAAACTTCAGATTTTTGTTGAAGAAGAGGTTTAGATGAGAGTTTTGAACATGAAACTGTATCCACTGACCTTCTATACGGGTTGGTTTAATCATGAGAAATAAATGTTGCAAATTGATCTTTTTAAATGATATGGAAAAATCAGTTTTTTATCTTTTCATTTGTACCCTCTTTAAAGAATTACCTGCATTCATAATTATGGTGATTTTCTAAGGATAGCTTAGTTGTGACACAAAGCCAAAGATACAGGGCACCCAGTGAGAATCGAACTCACTACTCAGTTGTAATTGTTCTAGTGAGACAAGTTTGTTGACCAATCAAAGAAAATGAACTGATGTATCAGCCTAGAAGAAGCTCACGTCATCCTGCACTTTACATCACCGATGCTGATTTTTCTGATGACATTGCACTGTTGTCTGACAACCTCATTAGTGCCCAAGCACTCCTTTCTTCTCTTGAATCAGCAGCTAACTGTGCAGGTCTTCACCTAAATGAAACTAAAACTGAGTGTATGCCAATTAACATTCGCAATAATCATGAGATCAAAACACTCTCAGATAACATCGTCAAATGTGTTGAAGACTACAAGTATCTAGGATCATACATCAAGAACTCTGAGAAAGATTTCAACATTAGAAAAAATGGATAAGATCTGGAAATCTAATCTTGCTCGTCAATTCAAAATCCAACTTTTCCACGTACTTATCGAGCCAATCTTACTCTATGGCTCTGAAACTTGGACTCTCTCAGCAAAACAACAGCACCGTTTAGATGGATGTTTTACTCGTCTTTTAAGAAAAGTGCTTAATCTCTCATGGTTTTAAACCGCCCAACTCTAGAAATGATATATGGAGACTTGCCAAGAGTATCAACCTTAGTTTGCAAAAAGACGTGTCCAGTTCGCCAGGCATTGTGCACGTGCCACAGATGAACTTGTGTCATCATTTGTACTCTGGAGGCACCCATCATCTGACAATCGATCACGCAAGTTAACCTTTCCAGATAGGATAAAACGAGACACATTGATCCCTAAGGAAGATCTTTTAGGAGCTATGATGGATAGGGAATACTGGAGAGGTGTAGTGAGTTCAATCTCAGCTGAGGCTGCAGGATGATGATGATGATGATGTTAACCATTGCACCACATCGAAGTGCCTCCCCACCCACTGCATTCATACTTATGATTGTTATTGTAATATTTTGTTAAAAGTTCTTCAACTGGAATATTTAACAACGCAATAGAGGAATTTACATAAGCATTTTATAGTCATGAACTACACAAAGAACTTAGTCATCAATTTAAGAATTAAGAGTTATTAGAGAATTCAAATAGAAAAACCCTGAAATTTTCATGGACATTTTGATTTTATATTCTTGTAATTTTTTAAATTCCTGATTACATTATTTTATTCATTTAATTTTGTCTTTTTAGTTCTTGTCTTTTTTTTTTATATTATTATATATATGTAACAGCATTCCTAGATTGTATAAAGAATCACTAAAAATGAACATATCAAAAGCAAAAGTACCTCACACAGATTTCAAAATGGCTATTAATCTTAAATAAGTGGCAAGAGTTATGGAATACTCACCCAAAAAAGAAATTGTACAAAATCAAACCTACACTTAGGATAAGACACCATAAAACCGATCTTTCCCAAAGAGAAGTAGTAGTTTTAGCTAGAATCAGAATTGGTCATACCAACATCACACATTTATTCCTTCTCAAAGATGAGGATCCATCTAAAGGCATCATATGCCACGAGACGTACACCATAAAATATTTAATTATGGACCGTGCTAAATTTGCCTCTATCCATAAATATGTTTTTATAAGGTGAATAGCCTTAAGGAACTTTTCAAAAATGTAAAAACCAATTTGACCTTCTTGAAGAAAACTATTATAAACTAAACTTTAATCCAGACAACTTCACCTATAGACGAACTACACAACCAGTTTTCAACTATACTTCACGAACTGTAGAACTTAAAACTCCCTAAAAATTATTGAATAAGAATGCAATTTCCAGCACTAAATGATCCCCAAGGGTTGATATGCTGATAAAAGAAATCAAACTAAACCAGAGTGTAATCCTAAATAGAAATGTTGATCAGTTTATAAATAATGCTGTCAATTATGTACACTATTTACATTATTCGGACTATTGTTCTCATCTTTGTTGCCATATTTATCACAACATTTCGGCCGTTGTATGCTCCAGCCTTCTTCAGGTGGTTGCAATGTCATTATAATTAGTAAAGAAGCGAATAAATGAAGACAAGTGTTTTGGAGAAACTTTGTAACATTTATTTGTAATCTTCTTTTTTCTTTTCTTTTTAGGTTGGAGATCCAAAACTATCAACTTCCATCTGTAATGACCTGCTGATTAAGCACAACATTTACGTCCAGGCTATCAACTATCCAACTGTGGCTCGTGGAGAGGAGAAATTGCGAGTGGCAGCAACACCTCACCACACCAAGGAAATGATGGACCACTTTGTTGACTGTGTAGTGAAGGTGTGGCTTGAGCATGGACTCACTTTGAATCCAGACTCCACATGGCCAGCCGAGTTTGATGAGAAGTTTAAGAAATTCTCTATATAACATTAGGCTAGATTTAGTCGATTATTTTTGACTGTATTCATTTACTGCTCATTGTTTTAAAACTGAGAATCCTGAACCACAGATTTGTCACATATTTCATTGTCTCTCTAATTCTTTCCTTTGAATAAAAATGAAAAACAAAAAATACCTTTGCACTGCAAAATAACGTTTCTGCTACAAAACGTATTGATAAAGAAAAGATGAATTCCTTTAAAAAAATCTTTTTATTTTTTGGCTCAATATATTCATTCTCTTTCTAAACATTATGAAAGCCATATATATATATATATATATATATATATATAATATGACCAAAAGATAGTTTTGAGGTATCCTATATTTAAGAGTACTCAATATCAGGGATAGTCTATGTAAATAGAAATTCACACTTAGACACAAGTGAATATAATAATAATAATAATCAACAACTAATGAAGTAATCAATAAATAATGAGTAAAAACAGTTAAGAAACAAAACTATAAAAAAGCTACAAATGACAGCATTCAGATGTACAATTATTTCTACCCAAGTCTTTACCCATAATGCACCATTGACCAGCATACATAGTTACACCAAAATACACATGGCCTGAAGGTTTGGTTTAAACATGAAACAGACTGTCACCACTAGGTGTTGACCTTAATGTCTACTCCTGGCATATAAAAATGAAAAGGATTTATGCCTTAATAATGTATAAAGTGTAAAAAATAATAAATTAAAGTGCGTAATAAGTAAGGAGAAATCTAAGATTACTGTAAAATGTGTGAACACCACTACTTTTCACAAGTACAACAATTGCAGTACAATATGTGTGTATGTACACCTAAAATTTAAATGTAATGTGTATATCCATTAGTTTGGTACAAAAGTAATTGCAGTTTTTAGTCACCAACTTCAAAGAAATATATTTAAACTAATGATAAAAATTACTCATCAAAATAAGAATCATTTGAATGTTCACATTGTTGCCAACTATGAACAAGTCTATTTATTTCAATAACACAGAATTCTAGATTCCTGGAATTGGTGAATTCTTTCTATTATTTGGCTGTAGAAGACCAGGCAATTATCTTGATGACTTAAAAACTTAACAGTTTTCCAGAGAAAGGTCTGGTGAAGAAGCTGGGTAAGGTAGCTTCATAGTTCAGTTCAGTTTCTGCTGATCAGGCATTGTCATGAAGAACAGTTGATCTTTTTTTGATTGGTGGACATAAACATTGCAATTCTTGGTAAATTTTATTAATTTCCTAATAATATTTCTCTCCTCTCTGGGTTCACCAAGATTCAAGAATTTGTAGTGGATGATTCCAGCATTACTTTAGGGAAAATGTTTTCATTCTTCAAATCAGTTCAGCCACTGTGTAAAACTTTGTCAGCTGCCATAGAATCTGTTTTTTGTCACAATGTAATAAAAAAAAAAAATGGATTATTATTGTTTCAAAAATGAATGCAGTGCAGTCATTGTGAAAGCAGATATTTCTTTAAATTTCTTTCTGCTTGTTTAGTAGCCATTTGTTAATCTTTTTATACTTGCCAATTTGGTGCAAATGTCAAACAACTGTTGAATGGTCAGAGTATTTAGTTGTGTAACCTTTCAAGTTTTGTGTGGCTTCACTTCAATAATGGCCTTCAATTGGTTGTTGTCAATTGTTAAAGAAAATCAATGAATGTCTTCATTTTTAAAGCTCTCATTTCTGCTACAAAAATATTTGGGACTAATGTTGAACTGTACCTTTATTGATAATTTTCCTGGCCAAATGATTGGTGAATGTTGCAGGCAATGTCGACTGCTTTAGGAACTGATACAATAATATTATTCAGATTTTATTTTTTTCCATCTTTAATATAACTGCCTATAATAAACAATGGAAATAAAATCATTTGCAGAAATCAAAAGTGAAACTGCTATCGTTAAATAGTATATGGCATAAGTAGAGTCACCTAACTATATATGAAAATAAACAATAAAATCTAAAATAAAAAATGCAATTATTTTTGGACCAACCTTACATATATATATATATATATAAGGAAATGGACAAAGTCCACCAATTATTTTAAGACATTTTTATGTTTATACATTCTTTTTTATAGATACAAATATTTAAGTAAAAAATGCTCTGTTTATAATGTTGTTAATACTGTTTATTATAAACAGCATTTACTTAAATATTTGTATCTATAGAAAAGAATGTATAAACATAAAAATGTCTTAAAATATATATATATATGATGATTATCAATCAATTCATTGCAGAAGAAGACCATCTCTTGGTAGCTTTTGTTTTTGTGCTATTCATTCAGAATTTTTTTATTTTCATCATTTTTACTCGAGTTAACACACTCTGCTCTGGACCTTTAAGTGATTTTTAAAGTCAGCCTCACTTTTAAAATCTCTCTTATACACATGGCAAACATAACATTTGTCTGTTACCTATGTTAGAAACTTGCCTGTCCCTCTGTACAATCATGTAATGTTTGACTTCTGCAATAGACTTACAAACCTTTTCACAAAACTTACACAAGTAACTGCAGGTGATCACATGTGACTGGCTAAACTAGTTACCAAAAAGTGACTTTTCCACAAATACTGCAAATGTGTGTATATATATATATATATATATATATATACACACACACTGTCTCTTAAACTCTAATCTGCAAAAAGTGGAGCTAACTCTGTGCAAACTATATTTACTATAAATATTCTCGTTAGAACAGAGATGACCCAAGTCCAGTGGTAGTTTGCGTAATAACACATACAGGTTTAACAAACAGGAAGTATGTAATTACAATCCTGCACACTGGCAGCTTGGAGCTTATCCTAATGTCATGTTCCAATCAGTTTGTAGCAATGGTTGGGATTGGGCAGAGCTCTGAGTGACTGAGCAGCCTTTTCAGGGTAGCACTGCTCAGTCAAATGTGAGACAGGACTGGAAAAGCTGTCCTAAATATTGCATGTCACACTATAATCTGGTCAGCTTACCATGGCTGATGGATGTTCATCACAGTAGTAAGAAATTAAAAAGAAATATATTAGTGAAAGCTGAAACATGCAGCTTCAAGAAATTCTGCTCAGAGATTCCACACCAACATATCTTCTTGCTGGAACATAAAAATAATGCAGGACACAGTGAAGAGCACCCACCCACCCAGATGCTCTGTGATATTTGCTCGTAAATTCGGTAGATGTTTTCTTGGTATCAATGCAATAGTTCACCTTCCTGAAGACGGTTTTTCAAAGGAGATGGGATATACTTTTTAATAGGAGGGGTAAACCTGGTGAAGCAAAATGGCCGCCTGGGGTTGGCTTTGCAATTAAATCTGAGTTAGATTATAGATTAGTGGAGCTTCTGTGTGTATCTGATCGAATCATGATAGTGAACCTGCCTCTCAGCAATGGTTGATACTCTTATCATTGTGTATGCTCCCACCTTAGATTTCTACAATGAAGATGTTGGACATTTCTACTCTGAGCTCAGAGATACCATCACAAAGGTTCCCAGGATGACAAACTTGTCCTCGTTGGTGACTTTAATGCCAGAATTGAAGGTAACTGTCACATGGAGGGCTCTGGGGAGACATGAAATTGGAAAATGTAACAATAATAGGTTGCATCTGCTGTGTTTATGCAGTGAGTTTGATCTAGTTATAGGTAAGTTTGATCTAGTTATAGGTAATTTTCTTTTCCGAAGCATAAGGGTATCTGGATGCACCCCAGGTCTAGAAGTTGGCATGTGATCGACTTCATCATTGTCTGTTCTCATAATCGTCAAGAAGTTTTTGATGTCAAGTCATGAGAAGTATTGAATGCTGGACTGACTATTGTCTCTTGAATGATACCTTTAATATGAAAATAAAAATTAAAAGCAAGCATTCAGTCACTTACCCACCTAAGCGTATACATATATCCAAAATAAAGAAAGCAGAAATTCAACAACAGTTCGCTGATAGGATCAAAAATTTTGAACGTCTCGACGAAATTATTATTTGGTCTGATTTTAAATCTAAACTTTATACTACCTCACTTGAAATACTGGAACATATAAACTAAAAACTTCAGGAGGACTGGTTTGATGACAATCATGCACACATAAAACATCTACTCGATCAAATCGCAGCAGCAGACCAACTCTGAATAATCTCTCTCTCTCTCTCTCTCTCTCTCATTCAGAGTTGTCTAAGAAAAATGCAAAATCATTGGTGGGAGGACAAATCAGCTAAAATCCAACCTGCTGCTGGTTCTCGAGATTCTAAGACATTATAATCTCCTGTCTGAAATCTATGGTCTTAGGTCATCTACTATTACCCCACTGCACTTAAAGGACGGTTTGAGGTTACTTACCAAACCAGAAAATATCTGTAATCATTGGAGGGAACATTTCCATAACTCCTGAATTAACCATCTGTTGTTGACCAGCTCAATCAACTCCCCATCAAGAATGAGCCAGACAGTCATCCAACTGTTCATGAGGTTTCCAGGGCTGTTGCACAAATGAACAATGAAAAAGCCTCTGGGCTGGTTGGAATTAGTGCAGAACTCCTTAAATGGGGTGGCTCTGGACTAAATGCATTGTCGCACAGGGTGTTCGTATCCATTTTGGGCTCAGGATTGGAGAGATGTACTTCTTATCTCTTTGTTCAAGAATAGTTCTAGGGACCTTTGTGACATTGAGGAATTGCTTTATTCTCTATCATTGGACAGGTTTTTGCAAGAGTTCTTTCAAATTGCCTGGAGATACACATAACCGCATCCATTCTTCCAGATTCCCAATGTAGTTTTCGTTCTGGGTGTGGCACAGTTGATATGATCTTTTCAGCTCACCAGCTTCAGCAGAAATGTATTGAACTGGGTCTTGATCAGTGTTTCATTGACCTTGCAAAGTCATTTGACACAGTTAACTGTGAGATGCTCTGGAAGTTTCTGGAGGAGGATTGTCCACTGCATTTTGTGACCCTTGTTCGATCTCTTCACAGTGATATGAATGCCTTGGTTAAC